CTCGAGTGCCTCCTCTCGCTTGTGCTGCTACAGGTGAGAGAGAGGACAGAGCAGAGGCACAGAAGATGGAACCTGTTCATATCCAAGCAGGAGGCTGCCAAGAAAGCACTGACATTAGTCTGGAGGAAGACACACAATCTGCACATCTTTCAGGAGGCTCAGCAGCACCACAGAGTAAGTGCCCACAGCACTGGGGTATTGATCACGGTCAATCATAAGTTCTTTCTGTTTGCTTGCTGAGAAGCTGGCTTTGACTATTTTTTATGATCAATATAAGTAGAGAAGTATCTCAGATGAGGCCAAGATTCCTCCACTGTATTATGCTCAAATAAGCATTTTTTTTCACAGGAGTGCTGCAATTTGTGCATGTGTGTGTGTAGGGGGGAGTTGCTGAGGTATTACAGACCCCAGGGAGAAGAGGAACTAAATCACAAACAAAAGATGTCTCCTCCGACATTTCCATAAGAAACAGTAACTCTACATCTCCTGCCTCCTCAAATTTATAACATTCCAGACAAGTGTTGCATCTTAAATCAGCTGAACATACAATAAAATTAGCTGTCCAGGAAAGCTAATAAAGCAATTGACAATAAACAGAGTGGAATTAGTAACAAGGATGAAGCAAAAGCTGATGAAATAAGTAACATCATGGTGAAAGCTAACAGAAATTTGTTCCTCTATTGCTGTGTTCTTTTAGCCCACAGGTGAAAAAAAACCTAAGCACAGTCATTATGAAAAACGACTGGAAAATACTTCAGTAAATTAAGACATGTCAGTAAATGAGTATTTTTTTATTCCACGGTAATTCAAAAATTTGTTCTGATGCTATGCAGATTATCAGCAGCATTAAGGCAGCTACGAATTATAACTGAACTGAAATCACTACAAAAAAAGCACATATGCTTTAAAACAGTACCTTTGTTGCTCATAATTTACATTTCAAATGCGAGAGCAGAAGAGGTATATTTATTTTGCAAGAGCAGACCACAAAACCTGTCATGTATTTCTCAGGATGGATTAAAAAACTCACACGACGCTACTGCAGGAAATAAAAGCCACGTCAGAAATTTAACATTCGAAAACTTATGCTAAATATGCTTCCAGGTCAGCAGCATCTCCCAAGCTTTCTGAACTGCTGGAAAACCTCAGTAAAATCTCTCCACACCTGGGGCCTAGTTCTTAACTCTGAGAAAAGAGCAGAAGGAGGAAGTCCCTGTCCATGTCCAGCGACAATTCACGACCTTGCATAGGGTGAGGGGCATCCTCGCGCTAAGGCAGAAAGAAAATGACCTGGGATCCTGCAGATGCTTTGGGTGAAGTCTCGGGAACAGCCCTGGCCAGGGACCATCTGAGCCGCATCTGGATCTAACTGTCCCAGGAATTTTCATTTTCAGTACTTCCAAACCCCGCCAGTTTCAGCCAGGAAAAGGACACTGCCCCATGGCGCCCACAGAACTTTCACTATCGACTGTAGTAAATAGACTGCTTTGTTTCATTGAGCCTTGAGCCAGGGCAAGTTTATTAGGACACAAGATGTGCAAATCCTATCGTGAGGCCTCTGCCTGAAAACTTCACTGCAGCGAGTATTTTTCCTGAGATGTGACGAATAACAAAAAAAGCTACACAGGAAAAAAAAAAAAAAGGATTATTTTTCCCTAACATAATGTTCCTGAATCCACAGTGACTTTTGAAATTTATTTCTTCCAAATTATAAAATATTAAATCAAAAAAATACACAAAAAGCCAAATGTCACACAGCCCATGGTCTTCCTAGGAATCTGAAATCAGCTGGTAGCCTTCACTTCTCATACCTCCTTACTAAAAAAGCACTAGGGAATTGCTGACAGGGTTCAGCATTGTGCAGAATATTAAATATCTTTTTTGCAATACCCTGGTGACTCTTGAGTCTGTCTCCTACAGCACCATATGTACAGCTGTGTTGGAAAGAGGAAGCTATTAAATATATTAAAAAGTAGAAATATTACCAATAGACACTTCATCAAATAACTGGATCTCATTCATCCCCAAACAAAGCAAGAAATGTTAAGGTTACATCAACATAAGAAAATAACTCTGGATTTAATAACAGCACAAGCCTGTTGAACATATTTGAAAGTAAAAACATTGCTTAATAAAACAGATTAGTGTTTCTGAAACAATGAATATAGCTTTCAACCATCAGAAAACTTTGGTAACAAAGGCACTGGACGTGGTCGTGAAAGGCACTGGGTGTCTCAGTTCCCACACCACAGTCACAGCTAGAAGGCCTTCAGGTCCTCGTATATTACCCTCAGTTTACTGCCAACACAGGACTAAGAATATTTTGTATCAAAAAGGATTTAATAAAAGGAAAACAAAAAAGAGTGCTTTGTTTGAGACCACATTTGCAAATACATTCCTCTAAGTCTGCCCTCCTGCACACCCGTCCCAACACTGCACCCGCATCTCCAAGTAACGCTTGAAGGCGACAGCAACAGCACAAGCACATGGCACGGAAACTTCCAAAAACATCTACACACTTAAGGGCTCAGAGTTACTGCTTTTTCAAAAGCGAGTTTCAGAAAGGACATTTTTGAGGTTTCTAAGCACCTAAAGACACCAACGGGAAAACTGGACTTTCAGTGGCTCCTTCCTCATAAGAATTTAAATCGGCTTTAAGTGAGTGCGTGCTGCCAAAAACCCCACAAGCCGCACTTTTACACTTACATAAGACTTTTACAAGTACGGCTGTTGGGCTCTAGAAGCCTAACACCCATCAACTTTTAATGAGATTTGCAATCTTAAATGCCCAAGTAACTTCTGAAGGACGGACCTGGGCTGTTGGTAAGAGCTCCCCGCAGGCCCCCAGGTTGCGCAGCCCAGCTCGTGGGCGAGGCGTGGGTTTCCCAGGGAGCCCCGGAGGTTTCAGCTCTGGGGAGAACTCTCTCATGTTCACAGAGCACCAGTTCCTCTCTCACACTTAGAAATGAAAAAATAAAGAACACTGATGAAGCCCTGCTAAGCATAGCTTCATGTATAAGTAGAGCAGAGATCTGAATGTTTAACTATCACAAGGACTGTGTTAATTACCCCACTTAAAAATTTCTGGAATAGTTTTGTAAGTCTCCAATCCCATTTTTGCTAAAATTGGTTCAAGAGCCTATGGTTCTTTTTCTAGGTTTTGTTACTCACAGTAATACATGAATAATTACATATTTTCCTCCAATTTCTGAATATATATTTCTACCTATATTTATAGTCTTTACATTTAGTAGCATTCCTTCCTCATCCACTCCCCTTTTTTTCTGTAGAGCATCTAGGTGTTGCAACTAAGGTAGTCACCTACTAACTTGCAAGATAATTACAACTAATGACTACAGGAATTTTTAAGATGCATGTCTAAAAAGCACTGAAACTTCCTGAATCAAGTGTAAATAGAAATTAAGGCCCTAAGGCTACAGGTATTACCTATGTATTGCATCAAGATAACTATTTTGTCCCTAAAATGGTAAGCAACTAAAAAGCATAATACTCCAAACAATGAAGTCACACGATATTCAGCGTGGGCCTCTTCTTTCTTATTACATGGTTTGTGAACACCCTGTTTTGCTAAATATGTAGTTTACAAATGCAAACAAACAAACACCACGGCAAAGATAGCTTTGACTTGTCTCTGCTGCTCCTTCAACCTCGGTCACTGCACAGAAGCAGGACCAGGTTTTGAGGTGGTTTCTGCAGAAGCAGTTGTCTGATGAACAAGACCTGGATGGCGCTGCTGTATGGATTTCCACCTTTCCCTCTTCCTGGAAGTTCACAGCCCAGCAGTCAGTGCCAGACAAGTGCTGCCAGTCTTTTAGTCACTGTGATGCAAAGTCCAGCACCTCACCGCAGACCCACCACCACTGTGGACACCAGACTTGAACAGACGAGACTCTTCTACTCTACTGAAGGTACACTGGAGAAGGAAAAGCACCTGGAGCAGAACTTCTTAATCCCTGTTAGAAAGATCTGTCAGTGTCCATACACCACTGCCTACACAGACCTCGCCTGGAGGTCTCCATGAGTTCCTAAACAACTTCTGTGGGACAGGCGTAACTCAAACAAACCCAAACCGTGCAGTCCCAGCCATGCCTGCAGGACACTCATACCTGCAGTTTATCCCCATACACTCTGGAGGATAAATTACACAGGTACCAGACATCTTTGTGCAACTGTGTCCTAACTAGGAATTATAACAACTTTCCTATTCAGCTGAAAAACCCAGAGAATTAGATAAGTTTACAGATCAGCTTAATAAACTATGACGCTTTTTTAAAAAAATTCCTTTTTTTTACGTTCCAGTGCCTGAATTTGCTGGTAAACAGCAAGTTTATTTGACAAAGGCTTATGTAGATACTGATGGAAGCTACCACAACAGCTGATATTTCTCTTCTGTCTTCTCTGTTGAGGCCTGCTGTACAGTGCAGCCTGCACAATCATGGCTTAAGATTAATCGGGATCAGGAAAGCACTGCACTGTTGTGGTAAGACTTCATTAAGTCACAGGTCATTGACCACTAAAACATAAATATAAAATATTTATAAAGACGCTTGGTTGCAGCAACTGAAGGAAAACAATTTAAAGAGAACAACACCAGGCTTCGAGGGCATCTGTGTCTCATGCATGGCCCAAACTGAGGTAGGAGTTCAATGGGGATATGGCCCTGTGCAGAACAAAGGAAAATCCTTAGAAAAACAGACCATGATGAATTCATGTTACACACAAGAATTTGTTGAAAAAGTTAATGTTGTTAACTCTCCTTCCCTGTGCAAGGAAACCACTGTGATTACAGTAAACTCCTCTGGAAGAGGTCAGGCCACTATGACATAACTGTGTACGTTAAGGGGTTTGACCACAGCGTTGAAGAGAGAACTGTTCTGATTTAATTTCAAAGTACATTGATAGTAAAGCTACTATTTCCCACCCTCCCCAACTGTACAAGGGATACAAATTACAATGAAAGAAAGCCAACCATCACTTACTCTGTTTTCCGCCTTTGCTTGTCTTCAAATACATCATTCAGGCTTATGGCCACCTGTCCCAAAAACCTGTCCAGCCCCACCAGCGACCTGTGCATGACAATCAGGTACAGGATGTATTTTTCTGGATTCTCCTGCATGAGTAATCCAGGGAGCTCGAAGGAGGCCTCTTCCTTCCAGATGGGATCCAGGGTCTTCTCTGCCACCGAGGTGGAGTACTTCTCCTTGCCCAGCTGGATGATGGTGTAGGCATCGTTACTGCCATTTTTACCTTTTGGCTTCAGACCTTTGGCTTGAAGGACCGTAACTTGCACGTGAGTTGGGAACCACTTCTGGGCTTGCTCTGCCAGCATCATCTTTGCGGATCGCAGCAGCGACAGCGGGCACAGGGTCTGTCAGCCCCGCGGGGGCCGCCTGAGGGCACTTAGGGCGCACACACCTGCCGGGGTCGGGCCGGTGCCCGCCCTAGCGCCGCGGGCCGCGGGTGTCCGTGCCCAGCCCGCGGGTCCCGGCCGCGCCCCGCAGCCCCCGCCGCGGCCCCATGGCCGGGGCTGCCCCCGCAGCGCCGCTCCCGGCCCGCCCGCGGCCTCGCCCTGCCCGCCGGCCCGGCCCGCGCCGCCCCCCGGGCATCCCCCGGGCCGCTCCCGTGCCCGGCGGGGCTCGCTGCCGGCGGGCTCTGTGCCGGGCTGCCCTCCCTCCCTCCTGCCCGTCCGTCCGTCCGTCCGTGGCTCAGCCGCTCGCCGCGCTGCCCCCCCGCCGCCGCCCGGCCTGACGGGCCGGCTCCGCCGCTTCCGCCTTCCCCATGCTGCCGGCGGCGGTCGGAGGGCAGAGGGCAGGGTTCGCCCCCTCCCTCCCTCCGCTCCGCTCCGCTCCCCGCCGGGCACCGAGCACCGAGCACCGAGCAGCGAGCACCGAGCAGCGCCCGCGGCAGTGCCGCGCCGGGCCGGGCTGGGCCGGGCTCCCCGGGCCGCAGGGAGCGCTGGGCTCGGGGGCCCTCCCGGCTCAGCCCCGGCCCGGTAATTAACTCGTCGCTGTTTCTGTTTCTGGAGCGGGCAGAGAGCCCTGCGGGAGCGGTGCAGGGGAGGAAGCCTGAATGAAGACACCGGTTTTTGTCATTAATGCCGGCGGCTCGGGGCGGCCATGGGCTGGGGATCCTCCTGCTCCGGGAACGGCTTCGTTTTCCACCCCGTCCACCCACCCTGGCAATTCTGATGGATTTCAGTGAGAAAGTGAAAGTAATAAAGTGCAAAAATATATTAATGAAGATTAATGTAAAATACAATAATAAAAGATAAATAAATAATAAAAGACAAGAAATAAATAATAAAAGATTAAAAATACAGCAATAAAAGGTAAAAAACCGATAAAAGGTGTTCTGAGAACACATGATTTTGTTGTGGGAGACCATGGAGACTGTGTGTTTACGCGCTCACCTGAAACTGCAGTCACTGGTATTAACAAAACAAACAAACAAAAACCCCCCAAAATCAACCAAACAAAATACCAAACCAAAACCAAAACAAAACAAACAAAACAAAGCAAAACAAACAAACAAAAACCAAAAAAGCCCCAAACAAACAAAAAAACCCAAACAAAAAAGAGCATTAGGGTTGCAAGGCTATGTATCCCACCCTGCAAACTGTAACAAGAGGGGAAACCAGCAGGCAAGTCAGATGATACTTCATCTGCCACCCCTCGCTCATGAGTCCCCAGCTCATAGGTTAGTAAGCAACAAAAAGCTTGGGAGACCACCTTGTACTGCTGAGACCTACAGGAAATTAAACAGTTAAAGCTGAAGGCCATTAGAGAGGGTAAAGTATGATACTGCCCGTGGTTCTTGACAGTGAGTGAGTTATTGTCCAAGGTCAGAAAAGGTAGGGGATCACCAGTCAACACAGAGTCATCAGCCTGGGTCCCAGCTCACAATACCTCTGTACACAACTTCTATAACTACTTCACTGACCCTCAGATTTTGACTGGGAATGACAGCTGTGCACACTGTGGCACCTAATGCAGTGCTGGCAATTCTCTTCCATGTTGATTTCTGTAGATATTGGAAAATAGATGGTCCAGTTGGAAATAGAAACTTCAGAACATGTCTTGGGGCCGTATTTAGACAAAAGCATGTAAATGGATTATCTGGGGTAGTAATTTCTGAAAGGGTTATAAACTGTCAATTAAGGCAGCACATCAGTTCTCTAGGATAAATCACCATCCTCCTCACCTGAAAATCCCTTCCCCTACTCTGCGGCTGTCACTCTCCCACATCCTCCGGTCTCTTTCCCAAATGTTTCCCTGCAAAGCTTCCAGGGCGAGCTGCTGTGCTTGGGAAGAGGGTAGCAGCATTTCAGGGTGGAAGAGCCAGAAGGGATTATGGTGACAGTGCTCTGCAGGAGACCTAAGCCGTGGGGGAAAGCCACAGGGTTCTTGTTGGAAACCAGAGAGACATAAGTACATCAGAATATTTCTTAAATGAATCTTACCACATACAAGTTCTGCTTTAGTACAATATTCTTCATTGCACTAAATAGAAACCAAGCATGATGCACTCATCAAACCAAGAAATGAATTTTAGGTACACAGAATGTATTTATTTAATCAGAAATTTAAGTCAAACATCATGTCTTGCATGCTGTGTCTTAGGAAAAGTTTTATGAGTTTTTATAACAGGCAGGATTTGTGCTTTATTAGTGTTCTCTAATTTCTTATGATTCCTAAACAGGAGCTGACTGCAATACATATGCAGGCAGCTGAAGAAGGGAAGGTGGAAGAACTTTTGCACCTCTGCAGACAATATGTCAATACAAGACCCAATCTTCCTTTGCTGCTTTCAAAAATAAACAGATTAATAGTTCCCTACCCCTTATGTGCAATCTGGCATGTGAGAAGAGGAACGTGGAGCCTTTCTCATGTCTCTCCTTTCTGCTCAGCTGGTGGAGCAGGCACTGGGGAGATGCCCTCTCAACTCCTCCACCGCTGTGCTTCATAAAAAATTCTGCCCAAAGGTGCACCAGATATATTTTATTCCCTCTTATTCCCCTCCAGGGTCAAGCTGTAAGCTGGCCTTTTGATTTTGTCCTCTTTAGAATAGAGTAATTGTCATCTTCTGGAATGAAACATGCAATACAAATGAGAAAATATCTTGGAGAAATAATGATATCTCCAGCAACACAGTGTCCCCTGGCACTGTGTCAGAGCATTAATCCAGAAATGACTCAGACTCCCATTTACTAAGCCACCAGCACTGCTCAGTGCCTGTATGCACTGTAGGTTTTGCTCATCACTGTCCATGATTTAGGGAATATCACATTAGAAAATCCATTTTAATTTCTCTGCACCATTTTGGTTACAAGACTGCACCATTCCTTCAGTACACCATAGATATCCACTGTTGTTCTGCAATAATAATCTTTTAAACTCACTCTTGTTGCTGTATCATGTTTTCTGTCCAAGTCCACTCACTCTGGGGATGTCCTGTCACGAATTTTCTAGTCCTTGGTTTCTTCTAGAGGATTTTGAGCTCAAAACATTACATTTGGAGTTTGCACTTGTGCATCTCCCTTGAACGCTCTATTGTGGTGAAAAGGATTTCTCCCTGTGGGTGGTTGGTAGCTCCTGTGTTGTTCTCTGCCTTGTCCCTTTTCTTTGTTCTGCCACTACCTGGAGAAAGCCAGGTGAGACAAGCAAGCCCAGAATTCCTGCTGATGAAGAGAGAGCCATCAAAGCTGGAGTTTCCAGCCTAGGAACACTGTTTCTGCATTTCTGATTTGCAATACCTGTCCTATGCTGCTGGTGGCTACTCCAGCACATCATCTACTTACCTACTTGCAGGTAATGATGAGAGTGGGCTTAAAAAATGATTGTTTATTGCAGAACAGTGGATATTTATGGTATGTCTATGGTGTATGTTTGATACGAAGCCTTAAACCTCATGTGTGCTGTCGATCTCTATTACATGTTCTTGCAGTCAGTTCTGACCCAGGAGATCAACATTGTTTTTAAAAGAGGGAATTCCAAGAATTATGGTGGATTTTTTTCAATTTCAGTAATTTGTAATAACGTCTCAGTTCTCCCTCCTGAGCCCCCAGTACATCTGATAGGCCTTGATACTCTGCCTGCCCTTATGAAAGAAAATGCAAGAAAATATTTTTGTTCCACATTCTACTTCTCACTTCCAGTTGTGTACTTGCTAAAGAGGATCAGAGCAGTTGTTCTTTCAGTGGCAAACTCTAGCAGATAATTTCGTGATTTAATTATTCCCTGATTTCTGTTTATCAAGTAGGAAACATTTTGTTATTTTTTTTTTAATGAAAATGCTATCTCTTCTTTGAAATTATTTGCTGAATAATTCTTTGTTGGCAGATCTTGGGCGATGTGTTTGCTTTGAACATTACATCGTTGTGAGGAACAGGCTGGTGTTGTCTAGGCATGTGACAAACTTCTGCTTTCTGCCTTGCTGACTAACTTTCAGTAGCTGTTGCAACTGTCCAGGCTGCATGTTTTCCAGAAAGACTATTTTTGACACTGCACGTTGTTGCCTGTTAGCGTTATCTCAGCTGTTGTTATTTTTTCAATTAGTGATTTCTTCAGGAATTCACCAGAATTAATTGACTGCAGAAATCAAATAGCTGGGCTCAAACCCACCACTGTGAATTAGGAAGTTTTTCCCATGCTACTGTTTTTGTCTGCTCTCTTGGTTGGAGAAACACTCATTAGGCTGGAAGCATTTGGATGTAAAAAGCTAGATTAATATTCATTAAATTGGTGTTCTGAACCCAAGTTTTGCATCTCAGAATGTTCAAAGTTTTCTGAGGCTGGGTGAGTTAGGCCACTGTCCTGCTCTGAGTGCTTCTTTTTACCTTTCACATTCACTCTTATGCAACATCTCCTCGGAGGGAGGAGACCTTTGGCCTCATCACTAGGGCTGAATTTTCTCTGATAGCTTTTGAAAGTCCTGCACACACCTCAGTGCTCCTGAGCTCTCAGGTACTGCCAGTGATCATTTGTGTGTGTGCCACTGTTCTCTCTGGCCAGCTATGGGATTGTCCCACCCTCTGCTTAGCATGCAATTTTTGTGTCTCCTGCCTCACTCTTCACCTGTCTTTCTTGCATTACTGCAAAGAACAGGGTCAGACAAGAAACAGCGAAGGAAATATGTCTTTGAAGAGCAGAGTGGGGGCTTGAAATCAGGCAAACACCCACAGAATTATCCATTGTTCTAGTAGAAATCCAGTACTTTTCAACAGGAAACCTGGAGTCAAAGATATGGCAGTGCTGTGTGCAATATCAGACTTCAAATAAATGCCAGGTACCACTAAGAGTGTTGGAAGCATCATCTTTTTTGTTCATTTTTAGCTGAACGTGTTTCACAGCCTTTCAACACCCTCATCCATTGTGAAGTTCAAAGAGGCTTAAATGCTGTAAAACAGTCATCAAATGCTATAATTAAACTTGCCAGTCATCCAGATTTGACCCAAACTGCCTGTGTCTCAAGATGTTAGTCAGCTGTCTGGGTTAGA